CCTGTCACCCCATCTGTTACCCTGCCACTCCCCCTCACCCTGCCACCCTACCATCTGTTACCCTACCACCCCCTCACCCTGCCACCCTACCCATCTGTTACCCTGTCACCCTGCCACCTCACCCTGTCACCTCCTCTCCCCTGCCACCCCATCTGTCACCCTCACCCCTGCCACCCCACCTGTCACCCTCTCTCACCCTGCCACCCCACCTGTCACCCCTCCCTCACCCTGCCACCCCATCTGTCTCACCCTGTCACCCCCTCTCACCCTGCCTCCGGTCCTCCTCTCGCGAGATTTGGAGCATTGCCGTGGTAACCGCGGCAACTCTCCAAATCTCACGAGAGTGAACTCTCCCCACTGGGATTACCAGGGAATCACCACTGGACCACTAGGAAAACATCCCCCCTCCACCCAGTAAAGGTAAGAAGGGAGGGGGGACATAGAGTATATATTTTAATTAATTTAATATATATATTATATATAAAAAGCCCCCCTACCCTTATCACACACACACACTCTACACATATACACTGCCCCCCATACACACACACTGCCCCCCATTATGTCACCCTCCCTCACACACTAGGTCTCCCACTCCTCACACACTTGGTCACACCCTGTCACCCTTCTCTCACCCTGTCACCCCCTCTTACTATGTCCCTGTGACCCCCCAAACTGTCACCCGCCCGTACTCTGCCACCTCACTCAGGTCACCCCACATCACACTTTCACCCCCTCACACTATGTCACCCCTCTTATTCTGCCACACTGTCACCCTCCCTCTCACTGTCACCCTACCTCTCACTGTCACCCTACCTCTCACTATGTCACCCCCCTCTTACTCTGTTACCCACCTTCACTATGTCACGCTTCCTCTCACTCTGTCACCCCTCTTACACTAATGTAACCCTCTCTCACTATGTCACCCCCTCTCACACTAGGTCTCACCCTCTCACACGGTCACACCCCTTCTCACCCTGTCACCCCCTCTTACTCTGTCACTCACCCTGTGACCCCCCACACTGTCACCCACCCGTACTCTGTAACATCACTCTGTCGCTCCCCACACACTAGGTCACCCCACCTCACACTTACACCCCCTCACACTATGTCACCCCCTCTTATTCTGTCATCCTCCCTCTCACTCTGTCACCCCCATCACACTATGTCACCAACCCTCTTACTCTGACACTACCCTCTTACTCTGTTACCCACCTTCACTATGTCACCCTTCCTCTCACTCTATCACACCCCTTACACTAATGTAACTCTCACACTCTGTCACCACCCCTCACACTCTGTCACCCCCTCACACTGTCATTTTCCCCACACACTCTGACACCCCTCTCGGCGCACACTGACACCCCTCTCGGCGCACACTGACACCCCACTCGGCGCTCACTGACACACCTCCATACACATTGTCACCCCCCTCCATACACATTGTAACCCCCCTCCATACACACTGTCTCTCCCTCCAAACACACAGGCACCACTCTCCGCAAACACAGGCACCTCCCTTCATTCTCATTGTCAACCCTCAACACTCTGGCACCCACCTCCATACACTCTGGTACCCTCCTGCTCTTTTACACTCACCCTGTCACCCCCTGAAGGCAATAATTATACACACGGTTACAGGGCCGGACTGGGACAAAAATTCAGCCCGGGCAATTAAAGGCAGATCAGCCCACTATTAGGGGCGGGGCCAGAAAGGGGGCATGTCATGTCACCACCATTGATACGCACACCCCCTTCCCCCCACCAAATGAGTATGTTAATGTGACGCTCCTCCAGAGCATCCAGTGCTCCTGGCTAAAATAAATGCCATGAGGTTTTTCTAGGGGGCAAGGGGGGTTGAGTTTGTGCTGCGTTTGCTGGCGATTTGTCTCTGGTGTCCTCAATAGTGGGATACCAGAGATCAAAACAGGTACAGGACTGTTAAAGAGTGTTGTGCATGTGTGGGGATGTTCCTTGTGTTGTTGTATATGTTTGGACATTGCATGTGTGTAGAGCAATTGTGTGTGTGAAGGGGTCTGTTTGTGGTGTACTGCATGTAGGGGCTGTAGTGTGTGTGTCTCTGGGTTGTAAAGTATGTGTGTTTGTGTGTGTGTGTATTTATATAGGGCCTGTGGAGTGTGTGCATGTAAGGAGCTGTACTGTGTGTTTGTGAGTGTATCTAGGGGCTCTAGTGTGTATATGCATATAGGAGCTGTAGAGCACATGTGTATAGGGGGGATAATGTATGCATAGATGGTGTAGTGTGTACAGGGGGTGCAGAATATGTATTTATAGGCGATATAAATTAGTGTGGGTGCATGCAGGGGGTGTAATGTGTGTGTTAATAGGGGTATAACGTATGAGAGTGCAGGGAGTGTAGTGTAGTGTAGGTTTATGGTGTATATAGAGTGTGTTTAGTGTGTGTATGTGAGTGCCAGGGGACTAGTGTGTGTATATAAGGGGTATAGAGTGTGTATAGTGTGTTTGTGTGTAAGTGCAGGAGGTGCAGTGTGGATATAGGGGTATAGAGTGTGTATTGTGTGTTAATGCAGGGGCTGTAGTATGTATATAGGGGTATAGAGTGTATGCAGTGTGTTTGTGAGTTAGTGCAGGGGGTGTAGTGTGTTTGTGTGTTAGTGCAGGGGGTGCTGTGTGTGTAGTGTGTTAGTGCAGGGGAGCAGTATGTTTGTGTTTTAGTGCAGTGTGTGTTTGTGTGTTAGTGCAGTGTGTGTTTGTGCAGGGGAGCAGTATGTTTGTGTGTTAGTGCAGTGTGTGTTTGTGTGTTGGTGGGGAGCAGAATGTTTGTGTGTTAGTGGTGCAATGTGTGTAGTGTGTTTGTGTGTTAGTGCAGTGTGTGTGTGTGTGTTAGTGGTGCAGTGTGTGTTAGTGCAGTGTGTGTTTGTGTGTTAGTGCAGTGTGTGTGTGTGTGTGTTAGTGCAGTGTGTGTTTGTGTGTTAGTGGTGGGGAGCAGAATGTTTGTGTGTTAGTGGTGCAATGTGTGTAGTGTGTTTGTGTGTTAGTGCAGTGTGTGTGTTTGTGTGTTAGTGCAGTGTGTGTGTGTGTTAGTGGTGCAGTGTGTGTTAGTACGTTAGTGCAGTGTGTGTGTTTGTGTGTTAGTGCAGTGTGTGTGGTGCAGTGTGTGTTAGTGCAGTGTGTGTTTGTGTGTTAGTGGGGCTGATGTGGGGAGCAGTATGTTTGTGTGTTAGTGGTGCAGTGTGTGTAGTGTGTTTGTATGTGTGTAATGTGTTTGTGTGTGTATATGGCCTTAAATTATTATTATTATTAAAAAGTAAAAAAAAAAAAATAATAATAATTCCATTTACTCCCCCTTTTAACTTTGCAGGAGGGGAGGGAGCATTCACATACCTGGTGGTCCAGTGAGGGGGGGCTACGCCACACACACATCCCTGGCGGTCCAGCGGCAGGTAATTCAGTCTGTACCCCGCAGGGTACAGACAAGGTCTCTCTCCCTCTCGCGAGCGCCGTTTTTTCAGAGCGTTGCCGTGGGTTACCATGGCAACGCTCTGATAATCTCGGAGCTCGCGAGAAGAGGAGAAAGGAAGCTGCTCGGCGTGTGCAGAGGGTGATCGGCTCACTGCCCGATCTCCTCTCCGGCCCATGATGGGATAGAACTCCATCTTGGGGCCGGTGCTGCTGCGCATGGGCCGGTAGGGGAGATCTCTTGATCTTTCCTACCGGCCTTGGTCCATGGCCATCGCGGCCCACCGGGCATTTGCCCGGTTTGCCCGATGGCCAGTCGGGCCTGAACGGGGAAGCTGGTAGGCGCCAGCGGTGTTCAGCGGAATAAGTGTCCGAAAATAGT